ATTTTTAGTAGAGATGGGGTCTCGCTCTTGCTCAGGCTGGTCTCGAACTCCTGAGCTCAAACAATCCTCCCGCCTCGGCCTCCCAGGGAGCTAGGATTACAGGCGTGAGCCACTGCGCCTGGCCCAGATGTTTTATCTTTTTAAAATTATCAATAGCAATACTTCTGGTAGCAACCAGAATCTTGATCCCAGTGAACCTAAACCTTGTACATTTAAACCTGAATTATAACTTTTAAATTATGGGCATAGTTGGAAATTTGGGTAAGTTGGAAGTGAGAAGTCACCCACAGAGGTTGTAAGTGTTATCTAAAAGAGGGAGGTAATTAAGATACAAAGGTAGATGTCCTTTAAAAAAAATACTGATTTTAAAATTGTGCTAAAATGTAACATAAAATTATTTTAACCATTTTAAGTGTATAGTTCAGTGGCATTAAGTACATTCACCCTGTGCAACCATCACCACCATCTCCAGAACTTTTTTCTTCTTAGCCATTAAACAAACGATAATTTCCCATTCCTCCCTCCCTCTAGCCCCTGACAACCACCATTCTATTTTCTGTCTCTATGAATTTGACTATTCTCATATAAATGGAATCATTCAATATTTGTTCTTTTGCGACTGGCCTATCTTACTTAGCATAATGTCTTCAAGGCTCATGTATGTTGTCGTATGTGTCAAAGTACCTTCCTTTTTAAGGCTGAACAATATTCCGTTTCATGTATATATCACTTTTTGTTTACTCATTCATCTGCCAGTAAACACTTGGGTTGCTTTTCTACCTTTTGGCTACTGTAAACATTGCTGCCGTGAACACTGGAACTGCCATGCTGTTTTCCATAGCTGCTGTACCATTTTGCAGTCCCACCAGCAGTGTACAAGTGTTCCAATTTCTCTACATTCTCAGCAATACTTGTTATTTTCTGTTTTCTTGACAGTAGCCATCCTAATGGGTGCAACGTATCTCATCATGGTTCTAATTTACCTTTCCCTAGTGATTAGAGGTGTGCTTATTGGCCATTAGTATATCTTATTTGGAGAAATGTGTATTCAAGTCCTATGCCCATTTTTGTGTGCACATTTTTTAAACCTGAAATAGTAGCTACAGGAGCAACTTATAACTTTATAGGATTACCAGAAAGATAGCACTTTTAATTGTTAACTAATACTGGTAGCAAATGAATAAATATTTTAGGAAGATATTTATCTCATATATCTAATCAAATTTTGTCTGCTCTTCATATATTTCATCCATCTCTTCTCTATCCCTATCAACATCATCCTACTCAATTTAGCATCATCTCATGCATGATGTAATACAAATTACCTGGGTAAAAGAGTGCCATGTGTATAGTAGGAGTTTAATTTAATGAATGATAACTTGAAGTGAGTGGGTTCAGTTCTAATACAATGTTAAGAATAGGTGGTCATAAATTCCTCTAGTAGATTTGCTCTTCTTCAATTCCCTCCCCCTCAATTCGACAAAGGTTTATTATGCATGGGGCTTGAGATCTGAGTTTCTTTCCCTCAACATTTATGACAGTAGGCAAGTTGCACAAACTCTTTTCTCTTTTGGCTGAACTAAATGATTTCTTCTAGCCTTGTCTATTAAATCTTTTTAGGATTCTTGTAAATATTATCAACTTTTGGTTATTAGAGCCCTGAATTATCTGAATACTACATTGCCCTCAATAAGTCATGTTTTTAGATTCTCACCAAACATAGGTAAAGTGGGAGATGAGAGCTTATTTTAATTCAGCTCACTTTCTTATTTACCTTTACATATTTCCTTGGGTTTCTTAGATCAACGTAAAACCTAATCTGTAAACCTTTTAAATCCAAACATTTAGTGATTTTCTCTAAGAATTAACCATCGATAATAAAGCAATAGTATTTTAAACAGTTAACATCGGGATGGGGTTTGTGGGTCTTCTAAAGGTAGTATTGCATCTTAACAGCATTTAGAAACAAAGGATAAGAAATGCTGTATTGTGTAACTTTAGTTTTTTGATTTCTGTTTTTGAAATGTTATAAATACAAGATCATCTCACATACCCAAATAGGGCAATGTATATTCCAAAGCTAACTACACATTTTTTTAAAATTATCTTCCATTTTTGTTTGTTCTTACCCCTGTCCTCTTCTTGTTTCATTGAGAATTCACATTAAATTGATTTTAAGTGAACTTCTAAAAGATATAAATAATTCTTTAAACTGGTTTAATTAATCTCAAGAAATAATGTTGTGATAGGCTAATGTAGATACGATAGCAAAATTGAGTAAACCCTTTTAAAATAGATTAAATTTTCATATTTAGTATTTTTACTGCCCAGTAATTTTCTTAGATTGACCATCTCTTCTATTTTTTCTTGTTTCTGTTTATAAATTGTTATTTATGAATAATCATTTTCTGGGATCTATACAAAATTTTTTTGGTTTGTGTAATATAGTCTTTATAATACAGTCTTCTTTTGCTTTATGCTCTAATTCTCTAATATTTAAAATAACTTAATTTCTATTTCTCAGCAATCAAGAAAGTACTTTTAACGTTGCATTTGTCACTAGGAAAACTAGTTTTAATTTATATTGACCTTTTTCTCCTTTGAGCATTTAGCCTGCATTCAATAAAATGTTGATGACTGCTCTTTAGAAGACAGCTGTATGAAATAAAGTATTATAAATATTCAGCTTTCCTTTCTAAGCATTGTCACCAACAGCTGGGCATCCAGTTTAGCAGAACAGATTTTGCACAGAGAGAGCCTGGCGTGTTCCTGAATCAGTTTAGTGAAGGAAACAAAAAATAGTTTCTTATGGATTGGGGACTTATAAAGACATAGAGCATCTGTTCCTCTGTTAAGTCATAGTCTGGTTGCACTGAATCATGTTTAAAGCTAGAATAATGTGCAAAACTTTTTTCACCTTGCTCATACCTTTAACACCTAGTGCATTATATCTGCAAATAATATACTTTCAACATCTTCGTTGAAGGTAGGTAAATTATTTTGCTCTTATGTATAATTTTTTATTATTGGTATTTTAAAGCAGACAGATATACTAATTTTTTAATAAGACTTTATGACTTTAATGTTTAAATTGTGTGGTGGTCATTGTATATAAAACCACATATATAAAAAAGTGATCCATTGAAATATTTATTAATAATTATGATCCTATTTTGAAATATGCTATTAAAAACAAACCATCCTCATAAATAATTGCTGTCTTCATATGGTATTCTGCTTTAATAAATAATGTAAAATTAGTTGGCAAAAGTATCTTAGAACCTTTGTTTTTATATCTTATCCTTTAATATTTGGCTACTTAAAGCATGTCAAATCTAAGATTTCTTCAAATGTTTTGTTTGCAGGGCTAAAAGATCACTGAAATTGGATGGTCTGGTAGAAGAAAATGTAAGTATTTGCTTAAGAGTTTGTGATTGCATGATATGATTATGTTTTTAATTTTTAACTACTGATTTTCCTTGCTAAATGTAAAAATTATCAAAACACAATGTGATATGATTGATACACCACTTTCTGTATATAAAATATTTTTTGTAAATCTAATATGTGGAAGTTTCTGGTCAGTTCGAGGTGCTCATTTAAGAAAAAAATTATTTAAAAACCTTAAAGAAATAGTTTAGTAGAAATTAATTCACTATTTGTAGAAAAAAAGTAGTCTGCCACTTAAATGTACAAAAAACAATATGGAACAATAGCAATACCTTTAATCTGCATACTGTAATCTGCTAAAACGAAATAAAAACATTAGCATTTTTATGTCAAAAATGTAATTACCTCCCTCAGTTATGTGGGCATGGATTAAATGACAAAATACTAACATTGTAATAAATTTCACCATAGTTATCACAATAAAAATAAAATCGTAATGTTGCTATACTTTTGTAAATCTAGTCATAGCACATTCCCAGTGCCAGCATGTCATGACATATGTTAGTTTATTATCTTTTCATACCAACTATGGATCTAGATACAAACACTAATACTCAGTAATCTTAAATGCAAGTAAAGTGGTAAGAAAGTAAATTAAAACAAATAGCTAGTAAATAAATGGGCTCCCACAAAATCTCATATGTGAATGCCATTTCAAGAAATGGTTTTATATGGAATTTCTCTTTGGAAGACTCAGTGGTATTTAACAAAACAGAAATTTACCATTTAAAAAACTTCTTAGGTGCTTTTTTAAAAATTTTAAACAAAGGTGGCAAAATACTGCAATGACACTAAAAAAATCATTAACAGCGTAATTAGCAATTTAGAGTACCATTATCCAACTTGTTCTGTGCAGAATGCAGCTGTGACTGTAATTCTGCATCTGTTTCTTTGGTCAGAATGGTATTTTGGTAGATGAGTAGTCCAGCTTGAAATGAAATACTGTTCTTTCCTGCCCCAAAACTGTTCTTTGGGAGATGGTAACATTATTTGAATGGAAAAGAATGACCATTTCAGAATCCATTCTCTCCATGAAGTAAATGGTCATCATGGCAGGCTTTCTATCCATTTTTTCTTCAGATGAAGATGTGTCAAGGTAGCCAATGCCACAGCTGATATCCTGTATTGGAAAAATACATTGTTACGTTTGGCCCAGTTCTGTACCTTTAAACCAATTGACTTAGCTCAGTACCACATGGCCACCACTTGCTCAAAGCTGGTTTCTAGCATCCTAGCCTGGGCCTTTCTTCAACATTTTCCTTCTATTTCCTGAGCTATTTCTGATATTTTCAGCTTTTGTACTCTCATCATCTGTTTGTAGCTCTATATTTACATCTTAGATCTAGCAGCTATTCTATTCTGGTGTTAAGTTTGAGCTTCTCTCCTTGGCTCCATATAGGAGAGCTGCCTGGAAAGTATCCAGCCATATAATATGAAAAATGTAGTATGAAATGACTGGATACTTTCTGGGCAGCCCTCGTATACTTCATCTACTCCAGTAACAGCTTAGCCCTAAAGCAGCCCGACTCCTAGTTATCTACTCCCATGGCCCATGGTCCCATTGAGGCTGCCTTAGCTCATACAAAAGGAAATTGGACATTCAAAATATATACCTGTAATTCTAGGAGTAGTTAATTGTTGTGAAGCTATAGAGGAACTAGTAGTAACTTCGTAGTCATTTTGCCTTGCCAATATGATGCTGCTGAAGGAAAAAAACTCTGGTGTCCAAGGAGAAGAGATGGTCCTCATATGCCGATTGGTTGAAGTGGAGTCATTTATCCTAAGCTACTGCTATTTCCTCTCCCAGAGATGTTTGGAACTCCCACCTCCCAGTGTTCCTAATGCACCTACACACCTTCATAGAGATTAATGCTCCACCATGTTTGGACAAGGTTTCAAATATCGTGTTCTATTATTGTCAGTAAGAAACTTCTGGCCGGGCGCGGTGGCTCACGCCTGTAATCCTAGCACTCTGGGAGGCCGAGGTGGGTGGATCGCTCAAGGTCAGGAGTTCGAGACCAGCCTGAGCAAGAGCGAGACCCCGCCTCTACTAAAATTAGAAAGAAATTAATTGGACAACTAAAAATATATATAGAAAAAATTAGCCAGGCATGGTGGCGCATGCCTGTGGTCCCAGCTACTCGGGAGGCTGAGGCAGAAGGATTGCTTGAGCCCAGGAGTTTGAGGTTGCTGTAACGTAGACTGATGCCACGGCACTCACTCTAGCCCGGGCAAAAAGAGTGAGACTCTGTCTCAAAAAAAAAAAAAAAAAAAAAAAAACTTCTAAGTCTGATTATTCCCATGGCATAATCCTGTCTATCTAATTCCAGAACATTTCCATCACCCCCAAAATAAACCCCACACCTATTAGTAGTTAGTCTCAATTTCTTCCTCCCCCATCCTCTGGCAGCTACGAATCTACTTTTTGTCTCTATAGATTTGCCTATTCTAGACATCTCATATAAATGGAATCATAGAATATGTACCCTTTTGTGTCTGGCTTCTTTCATTTAGCGTAACATTTTCAAAGTTAATCCATGTTGCAGCATGTAACAGTACTTCATTCCTTTTTGTGGCTGAATAATATTCCACTGTATGGATTATACTTACTAACTTTTGTTTATCCATTCCTCAGTTGAAGAACATTTGGGTTTTTTTTTTCTTTTACTATTATGAATAATGCTGCTATGAACATTGTTGTGCAAGCTTTTGTATGAACATGTTTTCAATTTTCTTCCTTTCTTTATTTTTTAGAGATGATCTTGGTCTTGCTCTGTGCCCAGGCCGGAGTATAGTGGGATCATAGCTCACTGCAACCTTGAACTCCTGTGTTCAAGCAATCTTCCCCCACCAGCCTTCCAAGTAGCTAGGATAACAGGCACACACCAACAAGCCTGGATAATTTTTTTTTTTTTTTAATTTTTGTGGAGACGAGGTCTCACTATGTTGCCCAGGCTGGTCTCAAACTCCTGGCCTCAAGTGATCCTCCCATCTCAGCCTCCCAAAGGGCTGGGATTATAGATGTGAGCTATGGTGCCCAGACTTTTTTCGGTTTTCTTAGTTATATACCTAGGAGTGGAATTGCTGGGTTATACAGTAATTCTATGTTTAACTTTTTAAGAAACTGCCAAGCTCTTTTCCACAGCACCTGCACCGTTTTACATTTTCACCAAAACTGTATGAGGATTACAATTTCTTTACATCCTGTCAATGCTTGTTATTATCTGACTTTTTTATTCTAGCCATGCTACTGGTTGTGAAGTGATATCTTCATTGTGATTTTGATTTGCATTTCCTCGATGACCAATAATGTTGAGCATCTTTTCATGTGGTTATTGGCCATCTTTTCTTTGGAGAAATATCTACTCAAATCCTTTGCCCATTTTTTACTGGGGTTATCTTTTTGTTGTTGACTTGTAGTTCTTTTTATATTCTGAATACCATCATTTTATAAAATATATGATTTGCAAATATTTTCTCCAAATCTGTGGATTATCTTTTTACTTTCTTGATAGTGTCATTTGACACACAAAGTTTTTAATTTTGATGAAGTTCAATTTTTTCATTGATTATCTTTTTGGTGTCATATCTAAGAAACTATTGTGTAATCTATGGCAACAGATTTTTATCTATGTTTCTTTCTAAGAGTTTTATAGTTTCAACTCTTACATGTAGATCTTTTATCCATTTTGAGTTAATTTTTATACATTGTATGAGGGTAGGAGTCAAATTCATTTTTTTGCATGTAGATATCCAGTTGTCTCAGCCACCATTTGTTGAAAAGGCTATTCTTTCCCCCATTGAATGGCCTTGGCACCCTCATCAAAAAATCAATTGATCATAAATGTGTGGATTTATTTCTGGACTCTCAAATCAATTCAATTCGTCTATATGTCTGTTCTTATGCCACTACCACACTGTCTTCGTTACTGTAATTTTTTTAATTTAAAAAATGTTTGAAATCAGAAAGTGTGAGTCCTCCAACTTTGTTGTTCTTTTTTTCTTTTTCTTTTTCTTTTGAGACAGAGTCTCACTCTGTTTCCCTGGCTGGGGTGAGTGCCATGGCATCAGCCTAGCTCATAGCAACCTCAAACTCCTGGGCTCAAGTGATCCTACTGCCTCAGCCTCCCGAGTAGCTGGGACTACAGGCATGTGCCACCATGCCCGGCTAATTTTTTCTATATATTTTTAGTTGGCCGATTAATTTCTTTCTAATTTTAGTAGAGGTGGGGGTCTCACTCTTGCTCAGGCTGGTCTTGAACTCCTGAGCTCAAACAATCTGCCCGCCTCGGCCTCCCAGAGTGCTAGGATTACAGGCGTGAGCCACTGCGCCTGGCCTTGTTGTTGTTTTTCAAGATTGCTTTGGCTATTCTGTATCTCTTGCAATTCCATGTGAATTTTAGGATCAGCTAGTCCATTTCTGGAAGAAAAAAAAAACAGTTGGAATTTTGATAAGAATTACATCAAATTTGCAGATCATTTTGAGAAAACTGCCATCTTAACAATAGTAAGTCTTCCAAATCATGAGCATTAGATATATTTCTATTTATTTATATCTTTAATTTCTTTCAACAATGTTTTATAGTTTTCAGTATACAAGTCTTATACTTTTTTTGGCTAAATTTATTGCTAAGTATTTTATTCTTTTTAATGCTGTTATAAATGAAATTGTTTCATAATTTCATTTTTAGATTAGTTATTTCTAGTGTACAGAAATGCAACTAATTTTTATATATGGATCATGTATCCTGCAACTTTGCTCAACTTGTTTATTAGCTCTAATTTGGGGTTTTTTGGTAGATTATTTAGGATATTCTATATATAAGATCATGTCATCTTCAAGTAAAGATAGTTTTACTATTTATTTCCTTTCTAATCTGATGCCTTTTATTTCTTTCTTTCTTTTTCTTTTTTTCCTATTATTTTCACCAGAACCTCTAGAACAATGTTAAATGGAA